CCCTCTTCCCAACAGGATGGACCCAGGGGCTGATCCTTCCCATGGCTGCTTGGCTAAGGAAACGCTGTTCCCTGGGCAGCCCTTCCTTGGGGTGACTCGCTGGGGCTGTCACCCATGGGAGATGGGCTGCAGATGGTGACAAACTGGCTGGGCTTATTGTGGGACCAATGCTGCCTTTGGTGGCTTTGGGGTCCCCTGGACTCCGCTGACCCAAACCCCACTTTTGTACCTTGTTGTTGGCTTGAGTGGCGCTGTCTGCCCCCACGTTCCTGCCTCCTTCAACACTGACACCAGGCTGGGGAGCTGCCTGCTCCGGCTCTGTTGGACCGCTCTGGGGAAGGAGTCCTGCTCACCAGCATGGATGACACTGAAAGATGAAATTGTAGCTTTTTTTTCCCCTGAGCTTTGTCCCCTTTAGGGGATGGGGGGAGAGAAGACCTTCACTTGACTCTGCAGAGCAAGTGGCCTTGGTCACCTCTGAGACTGGGGGATGTCCTGGAGCGAAGGCTGCTTGGTCCCAGCACTGAAGGATGAGTCCCTGCTCTTGAGGGACTCAATACTGTCAGGTCTCAGCACTTTCATGGGGTTCACCTCCAGCTCTGCTGGATTTGGACTCTGGAAACTGGTGCAAGATGGTCCCAGGCAGAAAAGGGACGGGGTCAACCTCCTGCCTTGCACCGTGATGCACTTTGCTGTCGGTGAAGCTGGCAAGCTCCCAGCACTAAATGTTTATTTATATATAAAAAAATAATAAATTCTGTTAAGTCTGTGTGGGGGAGAAGGAGAAATACCTGTTTGTCTATAAATGTTAACTCTGAATAAACAATGGCCTTGTGTCAGGGAACTGGTGTCTCTGGATTAATGGAGGTAACTGCTGGAAGTGGGGTCTGGCTGTGGGGAGGAGGCTGCTCTGGTCTGGGTCACTGCCTGGTTCTGGGGGGCTTGGGGGTCACTCTGGGGGTGCAGCCCTGAGCTGGGAGCTGCCCTTGGGCTGGCTGGGAGCAGGCACAAACCCAGCTGGGGGAAGGGGCTGTGGGGGAGCAGAGAGGGGCAAAGCCTCACCCCAACTGCTGTGCTTAACCCTGCTGCCTTGGGACAGCTGCCTGCTGCGGATTGGGGTGCAGGGACTGGTGCTGCCACCGTGTCCCCAGCAGAAGTTGCTGCCACCTGTGTGGGCTCTCACTGCAGGACCCCTGGGTGAGGGTCAGCTCCTCCCCTGCCCACATCATTCCCCCTTCCCCACTGTGACCCGGGTTCTTCCCTGACCTCCAGTGCACACTGCCTTGTGGGGCAAGTGGCCATTAGCCATGGGCAAGCTGGTCACATCCTCCCTCCTCCTTTAAAGGGCCCCTGGGTGACCCATATTGTGGGACAGGGACACGTCTGAGCGTGTGGTGGCGCTGCTGCTGACAACATACGGCAGCGAGTCCCAGGCTGAGATCCCCTGGGAGTCAGGGGGTGCCTCCACCACCAGCTGCTTCCTCCGAGGACTGAGCAAGCCTTGTATGTGGACTGGGAGCTCAAGTTGTGTTTAATGTGATAAATGACCTGATTTGCAGAGGATCCAGGTGAAACTACAGTTTTGGTGGTAACAACCTTGTGTCATCATTCAGCCGAGGATCTGCCTGTCCCCGTAGCGTTGGGTGACACCCACGCACGCCCGGTGCCCCTTGAAATGCCTGCAGAGCGCAGTCACGCAGCCTTTTAGCTGCTGCCGAGTCAAGCCCTACAGATTTAGCCCTTTTAATCTTTCCCCTTATGTCAGTCCTTCCAGCCCCCTTGGCTGCTGCCAGCTGCTCCCCTCTGCTGTCACCTCCCGTTTGTCAGGAGCGGTGGTGATGGAGGAAGCGAGAAATAAATCAGCAAATACCCCCTTGGCCCCGTTTGCAGGGCTCTGAGGACAGCCAGGGTCTGGCTCCACTGTGAAAGAAGGAGCCTGGCACCTGGGCTTGAGTTTTGCACCCCCCTGGGAGACCCCAGCCCTGCACCACCTCTCCTGGCTCGGGGAGGACTGTGTCCCCCCAGCATTGGGGACACAAAACGGTGATGGGCTTCCAGGAGCCGAGGAATGGATGGAAACCTCGTACTTTTAGTCCAGGTTGTGTTTTTGCTGCTCTCCCGTCCGAGCCTGGCCTCAGCACGGAGCGAGGATGGCAGGGTTCGAACTCCCAGGACTGGGAGGAGGGTCAGGTCCTTCCCCTCCTTTCCCCGCTATATTCGATCCCCTTTCACCGAGACGTGCCCAGCATCTCCTCGGGGCTGGATCATCCCCTCCCACGGATGGTGCTAACCCCGGTGCACGCTGCTGGCAGGGCTCTGCGGCTGCAGTCTTGCTGGGCAGAGGGGCTGAATCAAGGAGCTCACCCAGGGGTACTTAGTGTTTCCCCCCCAAAAGCATCCTCGAGGCAAGCAAAGCCAAAATTCACCCTCTGTGCAGCAGCAAGCAGCCCCGGGGGTTGTGAGACGAGGGGACAACCATGAGCTCAGGGGTGGGTTTTGCCAGCCGAGCACCTCAGCGTGGCCCGGGGGGTTTGCTTCAATCTGGGGTAAGAGGCACCAGCCTTGCTCCGAGAGCAGAGAAGCAGCAGCTGAGCCCTCCGTTGCCCTCCAGGTGCCCAGGCGGAGCAGTTGCACCTGAGCTGGCCGCTGCTTGGAGGGGTTGAACGGCGAAGGAGCAGAGCTGGGCTGCGGCCGGGTGGGTGCGATGGGGCAGGGCACCCGCCCGGCCGGTTCCCTGCAAGGGATTTCACCAGCTGGGATGGGGAGAGATGGGCAGGGCAGCAGCCTCCACCCCACAGCTCCTGCCCTGAGAGCTGGGGCTCAGACCTGTGCTGTGAGCCAGGGGGTGATCGTTCTGGTCGTAACCTGAAGGTAATTTGTTATTATTTGGGGCTTTTGCTTCGGATCTTTTCCCATTTTGCAGTTCAAGTGGAGCAAAAATGCACGTGACCCCACCTAACTGCCCCATCCCCTTGCAAACCAGTGGGGCTGCAGACTGCGGGGAACCCGGTGGTTTTGGTGCCGGCTTTAAAGCTGAGTTAATAATTCGGGCAGGATCCTTAAAAAAATTATCAGTGTGAGCAGCACAGCGGGGGAGATCTCCAAATCCTGGGGTCAAACAGCCTCCGCAGAGCTTGGTTCTGCCTTTGCTAGGATATTATAATCTGTGGGTTATACATAGTCCTGTAGTTTGGGTTGCTTGGACTCTTAAAATAGCATTTGCTCTTTCTCTGACACTTTTCCCCTGCCCCAAACACCTTCCAGCCTTGTCTGGCCCATTGCAAACGAGGAAAGGATGGGGACTTCTGCTGCGGGTCTTGATGATGCCAGCGGAGCCATGGCTTTCGGATCAGGGAGGGGGGGACAGTGACCCCACGGACGGGCCCGTCCCGCACCCCGCTTGCGATGCGGCAAACAGGAAGCGTGTGAGCACCGGCAGTTGAGTGTCACCCGAAAACAGAAAGCTGCCTTGAGTAAGAGAGAAAAGGAGAGCTCGGGTGCAGGGCAGGTCAAACACCCTCCCGGCCCAGGGAGCCTCGCTGCCCCAAGCACCCCGAAACTGAGGGTCCCTCTCGGCACGTGGGAAAGGTAAGCTTTGCTGCTCTGGGGATAGCTCGTGCATCACCTTTAAAAAAAAAAAATAAATCGAAAAGCAGGGAAAATAAGGGAGTTTTCTTGCCGTTAGTGAGCTGGGGGGGTTTCTTCTGGCTGCCCATGCAGGGGCGGTGGCTGGGGGTCTTTTTCTGATGGCTGGGAACAGCGTGGGAAGTTTTGGAGGGGAGGCAGGTCTCCGGGAGTTGGTGATGCTGTGGGGGTCCCTGCTTAGCCAGGGCTGGGGGGTGCACGGTTCCCATCTCAGCCCCCCCCTGCTCATTCTGTGCCTCCGTTGTGCCGTGGACTCAGCTCAGCTCCCGGAGCTGGGGCAGGTAACTGGGGGCTTCCCCATGCCTTAAACAGCCCCACCTGACCCCCTTCTGTTGTCTTAGAGGCTGGGGTCACCTTAAAGGTACCCGGTTTCTGTCCCTGGTGTCCCGTGGGGCTCCAATGACTCCTCAAGACCCTCTCACGTCCACGTGTTGCTACTGGATAGAGCTTGTGGGTGTTGTGCTTTAAGGGAAAGGAGATGGTTTGGGGTCCCACACCCACATGTCTGGTGGCACCCTGGGATTCGGCGGAATTGCCGTTTCCATTGCAAAAGGAAAAGGGCAGGGGGCTGAAGGAGCTGGGGGTCTCCCCAGGCTGGGAGCGGAAAGCCAGGCTGTGGCCATCAGGCGGCTTGAGCACGGCCTTGGCTCCGCATCGGCCGTGGCCGTGGTTTCCTCCGCTCAGTTTTTCGGCTTTCTCGCGCAGAGAACAGCCTCTTCCTGTGATGGCTGCTGGTGACACCGCCACCCCCCCGGGATGGGGAGAGGGGAGCAGAGTCTGGGCTCAGACCCCGCCAGCCCGGGCGAGCGCGCAGGCGCGCCGAAAACCTCCCCTCGCAGCTCTCGCCGGAGGTGACTCACGGCTGTGAAAGCCGGGGGAGGAATTTTAAAAGCTGCTGCTGAGCTCCCAGAAAGCAGGTGGAACCACCACGTCTCACCCGGACCTCCAGCATCGCCTTGGCTGGTTCTTTGCTGGTGTCACCTCCCGGGTGGCCCTTGAGCCCCAGCGGGGCCGGTGCCCTGCGCGTCCTCCACAGCCAGGGCAAAGCGTGGGGAGAGGCGGGATGGGCGCTCGGCCGGTGGCAGGAGGAGCCGCTCGCCCGGTGGGTGCTGGCCGGTGGCGACGGCTGTGGCTCGCTGCGGGTCGAGGCTCTGTTGGCACCGTGCAGTCGGAGATAAGCGCCTCTCTTCCTCTTGCCAAACCCGGGGGCCGTTTACACCAGCCGAAATGAGTTTCCAGCTCAGTCCCACTCCACCATCTCCCACCACACCACAGCCAAGGTCTCCAGCAAGGAGAGAGCTGGCTGAGGCTCAGCCCTCACCAGTTTCCCCCTCAACAGGACTGAACTGGGAGCCATGGCTGAGCGCCAGGCGGCCACCAAGGGCCGGCGTATGGGCTCCAGCCGGCGCAAGCAGCTGCACGAGAGCTCTGGCAAAGCCCCGGCGACAGCCCCCAGCCCCGGCGAGGAGCCGCCGTGGGCATCCGAAATAGTGCAGAGGGTGCAGGACTTCTTCAGGGAGCAGGACAAGGACCAGGCGGGTTTTGTCACCCGCTCGGACATGCAGGTAAGGGATGGGGGTGTCTTCTCAGGTTAAATGCCACCGGGGTGGCTGGAGACTGGCTGATGGGTAGGTTTTTCACCTGATTTGCTTTGTTCCTAGAAATTGCAGGAGGCAGATTGCCCGTGCAGCACAGAGGAGCTGGAGCTTGTCTTCGATGGGCTGGATGCTGCCAACACTGGGCGGTTAAGCACGGAGGAGTTCGCTGCTGGGCTCTGTAAGTGCCAGCACGCTGCCTCCAGGGAGCCTGGGTTGATCCTGGACATGGCCCTGGTGCTTTCCCGGGGGGAAACTGAAACGCTCCCCTTGCTGGGTGGTACATGGTGGCCCAAAAAGTGTCCCCATGCCCATGTCTCAGCCCATGGTTCTCCTGGTGCGGGGTCCTATTGTGACCAAGTGGCTTGTCGAAGCCACGGGGTGGGAAATGTTGAGGTTTGGGCTTTGCTGTTGCCTCAGCTGGGCATTGAGGTTTTGGGGTATCTGTTGGCAGGCCAGTTCCTGAGCTCCCAAAAAGCTGCCAGGGACCACCGCCGGCGGAAAACGACGTCGCGGAGGGTCCGCTTGGTCCTCCCCAGCCTGGCATTGGAGGGGGCGGACAGTGAGGAGCAGAGACACTTTGCTGCCTTCATGGACCAGCTGGGCACAGACAACGTCTCTGAAGAGTAAGCTGCCCTGTTTAGCACCCATGGGTGTCCTGCAGCATGGGGCAGAGCTGCCCTAGGGGGAAAGGCTTGGGACAGGGCAGGGTATTCTCCTGCTTTGCTCCCCGTGCAGGCAGCGAGCCCAAAAATGGCTTGGAAGTGCCTTTGCCCCAAGCGCAGGAGCAGGGGACAGGATTGTGGTCACTCCAATGCTCATCTGTCCCCCAGAACCACGTGTCCTGAACGACGTGAGCTGAATGACCTGGGACCCCATAGCTGGCCGGGCTTTGGGGGGTTCTGGGGCGATGCTCACCGCAAAACACCCCTCTCCCTGCAGGCAGGAGATCTGGCAGCTCTGGGTGAAGCTCCGGCAGGATGAACCCCAGCTCCTGGTCAACCTGGAGGACTTTCTGGCCAAGATGAGGCACCGCATCCAAGAAGCCAGAAGGAAGAAGGAGGCTTTGGGGGTGACCCTGAACAAGTGAGTCATCCCAGGGCAGTGGAGGGGGACGGGAAGGATGGGGACAGGGATGGGGCCCCCTGCTCACCCCAGCCATGGTGATGAACTCAAGGAGGGAGAAACCTGGCTGCTTTCAGGATCTCCATCGGTGGCTGGAGCAGAGGTTTCACTGGGAGCTGACATTTGGGGTTGGGCTCCCTCTACAGTCACACACGGGATGGCAAAAGTGCCGGACTCAGACTGCTGGACATGTCCTTGCTGGGTCAACGCCTCCAGGCAAACCTGGCTGTAGCGTGCAGGTCCTGTGGGCCATGTGGGGTCCCAGGGACCTGCACCCGCTGCAGCAGGGTCTGCCCATCCCCCTGGCCTTGCTATCCCCGGCAGGCGTGTGGCTGAGCACGGC